TGCAAGGTGACAAGACAAGCGTTGCCTGGCACCCTTGCATCTCCTCAGACACCTGGCTGCTTCTCTAACACAGGATGGTGCCGGTTGCTCCAGAAACCTGCTCTGGGAATGGCCAGAGAGAGGGCTTTCCCTCTGCCCAGCTCCGTATCCAGGGCCTGTTGAAGAAGAATCAGGATGTGGCTTCTCTTCAGACTAGCCATCGCCACTGCCGCCGTCCCCACCCCCCACTCAGTTCCAGAACTCACCCACCCCCACTTGCCTGTGGAATGAAAATGCCAGGATAGAGCACCTGTGCAGCTCAGATTTCCCAGGCTATTTTTAGGGGACTCCCCCACATTCTCAGGTAGAGAGTGCCCCTCCAGCTTGAGAACTAGGTACTCTAACGATACTCAGGGACAGGGTGGTGACAGTTGACAGTTGACTATGTCCTTCAATTAAGGCTCCAAGGTCAGCAGGGACTGAGATGGCCCAAATTAAAGACCAATACATGGAAAACAAACAAAAAAAGGGGGGGGGGAGGGGACGCATGGATGCCAGCAGCCCAATAGCTCCTGCCCTCCAATGATGAATGCGTTAGCATGCATTGGACACCAGTAAGGCCTGGGAGGAGCAGGGAACCTGCAGCCCTGGCTTGGGGTCACTTACTGGGCTCTCAGTCACCAGCTGCAGTGGGATTATGATGGGGATTCTCACTCCTCCTAACTCCGGGGCCTGAGGAAACACAGAAACAGGTGAACAACATGAGAAGCCAGCTCTGTCTCTCCAGGACAGCGAACCTCAGCCAAGACAGAAGGGGTCACTAAACCCTGGCCAGTGTCTGCGCCCTGAGTCCAGAGAACACCTCCTCTCTAGACTGCTGCTGGAATCAATACGGCCGGGGGGCGGGTGAGGAAGCGATGATGTGAAGGTGAGAGGGTGGCCGTGTCCCAACCTCCGGATTCTAATCCCGGCTCTGCCACTACCCCATGACCTTGGCCCAGACGGCCGCTACTTTCGACCTCAGTGTCCCATCGGCAAACTACAAGGGGCGCTCTTAGGAGCCCCTAAACTGACAGTTGTTGACCACGCCGATCAAAGCAGACCCCGGCTGTTTCCCTGCACCCCCCTGAAAAACAAGCCTTGATGCCTCCATTTCTCTCCTCCACCCAGTCTGCCTGTGGAGCCTGCGAGTGCAGGGCGAGTAAGACGGTCCCAAACTTTCCTTCCTGCCTCCACCCCCTTGCCCCGACGGCCCGCCAGGGCAAGTGCCAGCAGAGAATGGATGGGATAGGACTAGGGGACGACTGGACCCAGTACCCAGAACCCGTCCCCACGCCGCCCGTCAGTTAGGGACCCCCACCCCTCGCACGGCCGATCACTGAGGTACGCCTGGATCCCGGGCGCACGCCCCAGCTTGCCTGTCGCCCGCGGGGCCTTTGTGCGCCGCCGAGCGGCCCTTCCGAGCGGCCCCTTTTCCGCGCCCCGAGGCCGTCAGCCCCAGGGCCTTGGGATCTAACCGCCCCGGGGCCCCAGGCCCCTCGGCTGCCCCTCCCCCTACCTGCTGTCGCCGCGGCCGCCGCCACCTTCACTTGCCTTTGACTCGGGCCCGCCCCGGCCTGGGCTCCCCACGGACCCGCCCCCGGCCCGCCCCCGGGTCCGGCCGCTCCCCGCAGATCCGCCCCACAACACCCACCCCCGTAAACACGCCCCCCTCACCCGGGCCAGACTGTCTGCCGCTCCGGGAGGGGGACTCCGGGGGAAGCCGGACGGCGGGAGCTCCCCACAGCACCTCCCTAGCGGGGCGGCATGGGGTGTGCCTGCGGGGACCCCGAGCCGGACGAGGGGTCCTACCCACGCCCTCCGCGCTGCCCGGCACCCGGGACCCCGATTGTCTGTCGCGCACTCGGGGCTCCTTCCTGGGAGGGTGGAGGGGACGGGGGGTGGGGGTGGGGGGGACACCCCTAGACTCCTGATACCCCAGAATTTCGACTCCGCCCTGCCTGAAACAGGGCCAGGTTAAAGAAGGAGGGGGTGGGCGGCAACGGTCACCGTGGAGCCAGGGTCTCTCGGGGCCGGGAGGGGCAGGGGTGCCAGCTCCAGACAGGGCCGGAGGGCGTCGCAGGCGTGGGGAGCCCCGACTCCGGGCTCCCGGGGTCCTGGTACCTCTTCTCTTGGAGGCGTCCCGACGCCTGCTCTTGGGCTGCTCCGGGAGAAGTTGGACAACAAGGCGGGGGGAGGGGGCGCTATAAATAGAGGGCGAAAGCAAGAGGGGGGAGAGGGTGGCCAACGGGGACTCCGGGGTCAAGGCCCCACGGGGGCGGGGCGGTGGCCGGGGACCCCCCGGGGGCTCGGACTCGACGGTAAACAGACGCGGGGGCGGGGCCAACCTTGTGGGGTGCAGCAGGGGCTTGGGGGTGGTGGGGAGGAGGACGCCGTGTCCCGGGCTGGGACCCAAGAGACCCTGTGGCTTTGGCGCTAACCCCTCCCAGTCCGGCCCAGAAAAGGAGGGCGAGACCGGCTCAGACCGGCTGAATCGCAGTGCCCAGGCGACAGTGCCTCGGAGACCGAGGCGTCTCCCTTCGGTGCCTGGGGAGGGGGTGCCCTCTGAGACTGTGCTGTCATTCCCCCACCCCACCTCCTCAGCAACACCTTCTCTGGGCCCCCCTCAGAGCAACAGCCCCCTGGAATGGGCCGGTGGGTGTGGCTGAGGGAATTCGAAGTTGTCCTGGGCAAAAGGAACCCGGATTGAGTTTCTGCCCACCTGCCCCCACTTCCAGCCCTACCCCCACCCCCACCTACCTCTGCTACCAGGATCATACCCACCCCATCCCCCTTCAGCCTGGTTCCCGAGTTGCCATTTCGGGGGCTGGGCATCAAGCCAGTTAGAAACAATGGCCAATGGAACTCGAGCTGCCAACTGCAACACCAGCAGACTGGCCCCCCAAGACCCCCAAATTGCCCTCCCTCCTCCTGCCTGGGAACCACCCTGGGTACCCCCAGCTCTCTCTGTCCGAGGCACATCAATGCTGCTTTCATCCCCACTTGGCAGGGTCTGCTGGAAAAGAAGAAGCCAAGAGGGAGGAGGTGACCCAGGGCAGGAAAACTGGTCAGGCTCAAACTCAGCCTTCAACAACCCCCAACTGAATGGGCCCTCCATGTCCCCCAATTCAGAGCGCTTAGGTTTTCCTTGGTAGCCTGCTCCCACTCCCATCATGACCACTCCCCAAAAAGCTGGCACAGAAGCTGGACTCCCCCTCCTGGCTCCTTGCCTGGTCACCCTTGCTCTATGGATACCAGTTTAATACTGTTCTATACAAGGAAAGGCCTGCTAGAATCCAGATCCTAGCAAAACATGCCTGGGACAGGGCAAGTGGGCTCTCCCCTGCCCCAGTGGGCCTTGAGGAGAAAGAGCCTAAAGAAGCACTGTTGCCTTCCGGCTTCTGCCCTGTGTCCAAAGTAGTCTCGCTCCCAGTGGGGGAGGAAAGGACCTGGAGCTTCCAACATCTAAATTCGTCCCTGGGTCAGGATGACTCAGGGGGAACCTGATAAGGGGCTTACGCAGGGGCATGAGGCAGACACAAGATGGGAAATTTCCACTGAGATCTGTCTGTCTCCTAGGTTCAGGGGTCTCACCCAGTTTGAGGTAGGCCAAAGTGAGGCTGGCTCTGCCCTAAGACAAGGTTCTTCCAAGCCAGGATAATGCCTAGGGCCACCTGAGAGCAAATGCCCCAACAAGAGTGATCTATCACAAATCTCCTTCCCTATCAGCTCTGTGCAAGCTGCTGCGCTGATGACATTCAGAGGAAGTGTGAGATCTAATCACACCCTCAATCAAAGTTTATGATTGAATGATGGAGAGAAGATATAAGCACAGAGAACATGGAGAAAATCACATGAGTAAGTCTGGAGTTATGCTCAACAGGCTAATCCTCCACCTGCAAGTGCCAGGATCCTATATGGGCACTGGTTCATGCCCCAGCCTCTCCACTTACAATCCAGCACTCTGCTTGTGGCCTTGGAAATGAGTAAAGCATGGCCCAAAGCCTTGGGCCCCCACTATCATGTGGGAGACCCAGAGGAGGCTCCTGACTCCTGGCTTCAGATCGGCTCAGTTCCAGCCATTGCAGCTGCTTGGGGAGTGAACCAACAGATGAAAGATCTTTCTAAAATATTTATATGTATATCTTCTAATATGTATTAATTGTAAAGAAGGGGATTCTTTAGACGCCAGTGTAGTCATCCAGGTACTAAATGATAAGGACTTAAATAAGGTGGAAACAACAGGGCTGGAAAGAAAGGAGTTGATTTGTAAGACAAGCCACCACCAATGATGCCAGTATCTTATATGGGTGTCAGTTCAAGTCCCAGCTGCTCCACTTCTGATACAGTTCCCTGTTAATGCCCCTGGGAAAGTGGCAGATGACCCAAATCCTTGGGCCCTGCCACATACATGAGAGACCCAGAAGTACCTCCTGGTTCCTAGCTTCAGCCTGGTCCAATCTTAGCTCTTATGGCCATTTGGAGAGTGAACCGGCAGATAGAAGATCTGTGTGTGTGTGTGTGTGTGTGTGTGTGTGTGTGTGTGTGTGTGTATAATTCTGCCTTTCAAATAAGTTCAGGAAGCTCTTCACTCCTTTGCCCAACCAGCTATGAACCAGGCAGCAGCCTTTACTAGACACCAGAATCTATCTGCACCTTGATCTTGACCTTCCCTGATTCTGGAATGATAAGGAAGAAATTCCTGCTGTTTGTAAGCCACTTACTTTGTATATTATAGCTTTCTAGACAGATGAAGACATCTCCCCTGGGCTTTCCCCAGCTTTCCTTTTGGGGCATACATCAGGCAATTTGATCAGGACCTACAGGACTGGTGAACTGGGAAACAATGATGTGATTTGTTCATCTTAGGGAGGTCAGCAGGTTAGTGACCTGCTCACATCAACATGCAAGGTAGAGAGACAAAAGCCCTGACCTCTATAGACAAGGACAGGAAGTGATGTCACATAGACACTGCTGAAGTCATAGACACTTTCCTCCTTGTCCCTTTCTGTCACCCCCTTTGCATCCAGTCTTCCCCCTACCACCCAGCTCCTGTACAACTGCACACACAAAGGTTAGGAAGGGTCAGACGCTATCCAGGCACTCCTGAGCACACAAAAGTGGTGGAAAGGGGAGGGATTATTCAGTTGGTAGGAGCCATCAGTGTATCCGTAGTACTGGAACCAATCCACAATGTAGCAGGGAAAGGTGGGATGGGAGTGAGGGGGGGAGGGGAGTTGTTTTTGTTGCTAGCTAATTTTATATTACCGCTATCCTCATTACTCTTCAGTCCACCCCTCCCCTCTGCCCTCACCCCTGAAGTTGTTGCCAGCCTGCCCCTCTACCCTATCCCACCCCCCATCTGACCATGGCATCAGAAGCAGAGAAGACATTCCAGCGCTTTGCTGTCTTCGGAGACTCTTCCAGCAGCAGCACCGAAATGAACAACAAGAACTTCGCCAAGCTCTGCAAAGACTGTGGCATCATGGATGGCAAGGCAGTGACCTCCACAGATGTGGACATTGTGTTCAGCAAAGTCAAGTAAGGGAGTCGAGACAGGGTGGGGCTGAGTAGCACAAGCAGGGTAGTCAGCATGGAAGGGTTCATGTGGTGGCACATTTGACCCTGCCAAACACCTACTGGGCTCCTGGCGCTGTACTGCCCTATAAAGGGGCTCAGTGGCAGGACAAAGGATGCCAAATCTGAGTAGGAGAAAAGCCATCTCTTAAAAAATAATGAGTTTATGTTACAAAGTTCCTGGATTTCTGTCCAACCAGAGCCAAGAATGCCCGCACCATCACATTTTCACAGTTCCAAGAGGCAATGAAAGAACTGGGCCAGAAGCGCTTTAAGGGTAAAAACCCAGACGAAGCCCTGGAGAACATTTACAAACTAATGGAAGGCAAGGATCCAGCCACCACGGGAGTGACCGTGAGTAACATTCTTCATCTCTGGCTTTGATTCTGCACTCCTGAACCCTTTCTGCTTTAGTCTCCCTCTCCACTGACCTGTCTCCCTAACCCAACCAACAATGTGAGCCTGGGGTGATGGGGCAGAAAGCCTGGGACGACGGGGCAGAAAGCCTAGGAAGATGGAGCAGAAAGCCTGGGGAGATGGAGCAGAAAGCCTGGGGAGATGGAGCAGAAAGCCTGGGGCACAGTCTGCTTTGGAACCAGCCTTTCAGAAGTGGGGAAAACATGCCCAGGTGGAGGAAACAGCTGTCCAAGGTACATAAGCCATCTTATGGACAAGCATGTGGCACCCATTAAGAACACCTGCTGTATTTACCGTACAAGGGATTACTCATAAATCTGATACCTAACTCTGCTCCTGACTCCAACTTCCTGCTAATGCAGACCCTGGAAGTTCATGGCAATGGGGGGCTCCTGCCTCCCAACTAGATCTAGATGGAGTTCTCTGCTCCTAGCTAGCTCTGCCATTGTGGGCATTTGGAGAGTGAGGCAGTTGATGACAGCTTTCTGACTATTCATCTCTCTACCTCTCTGTTTCACTCTTATTTATATATATATATTAAATGGAATTCAGACCCAATCCCAAGTCACCAGTATCTGAGCCATCTTACTAGGGTATGATGGCTTCTGGGAACATTACTCTGAGAACTTGGTACCTGATGGCCAGTCAGCTGTTCTGATTGGTCCCTCACCCACTTTCTTCCTTAACTGTTCCCTCTGTACTCGCTTCTCTGCATATTAAGCTTGGGAGTGAAGTCCTCAGGGCAACAGCCTGATCAGAACAACTCTTCTAGAAATAGCAGAATGCACTCTCCTGGCCCTCCTTTCACACACACATTTCCCACCCTCCCACCCACCCCTGTCAGACAGCTCCTCCTTTGTGGGTGGGTGAGAGCTCTGGCAAAGTTCCTGTCCTGGGAACAGCACAATGCCAGAGGCAGGGCAAGGCCTGCAAGTGTTAGTTCCAAAGCTCTGTGGCCATCTTGGGGAAGGGATGTAGCAGTACAGGGGAAGCAAGAGGACTCAAACCCTTCCTCTGGCTTGCAGAAAGCAACCACAGCGGGTGCAGTGGATCGTCTGACAGATACCAGCAAATACACTGGTACCCACAAGGAGCGCTTCGATGAGAGCGGCAAGGGCAAGGGCATTGCAGGACGGGAAGAGACAACCGACAACTCAGGCTATGTGAGTGGCTACAAGGGTGCTGGCACCTATGACAAGAAGAAGTGAAGAGGACCTTCATGCCAGCCTGCCAGTCCCCTGAGCCTGCAAACTAACACCAGGGAGCATGGGAGACAATAAACATCTGTGTGTGCAGCAGGCGATGAGTTTTGTTTAACGAGGGTGAGGGACAGGTGGATTCACCAGTGCCACAGAAGAGGGACAAGAATACTCTTGGAGTCAAAGCTCTCAGCTGTATGCCCTTCAGGCTCATGCTTACCAGTTATAAACTCATGTTCCCCTCACCAAACGCCTCTAAGAACCCCGTTAAGGAATATGTTTACAGATCAGAGATGAACCACATGTGGAAGCGAAAGGATTTGCTATTTGTCATATATTACCAGCATTCATCTCCCTCGACCTCCTAAAGTAGAACGATTCTTAATCTGGTCAGCTGTGACCCAGATAGCACCTAGGAGATGCTTCCTAGTCCTTCATCTTTGTCACTGTGACCCCAAGTTTGCTGAGGAAAAACCAGAAGCCAGGTAGCATGGCCTGACTGCTATAATGATTTTGGTCTTGAGCTGGGATGGAGTGAGGTGAAACAGCCACCTCACCTCCACTGTGGTTCTCAGGAGGCGGGACTTCTTACCAACTGCTAAAGGAGCCCAGGGAGATGACCAGAGCAGGGTGGCCACCAGGATCCTGTGAGTAGGAGTTCCAGTGCACTGATGAAAAGGGAACTCAGTCAAAACTCAGTCCATATGTCTTCAACTTTTTATTTCAAAGTAATTACAGGCTCACAGGAAGTTACCAAACATAGCACACCCTTCTCAAAGTCTCCCTCAATGGTTACATCTTACATAACTCAGGGGTGGCTACAAAGCTTGGCCCAGCCAGAGCAGGGGCAGCTTTGTCCCCTGCCTTGTCCATGGCAGATCCTGGATTTTAGATGCAGTTGGATGGAGCTACTGGATGGCAAAGGAGCAGAAACCTTTGATGAATGGAATGCATGCATGACAGGGTGACAGGGGAAAGCTTGAAATTCATGTGAGTCAGGGGAAGAAGAAAGAAAGATTAGAAAAGGAAGGCAAGACAGCTAACCTTGGCCATGAATGGGGAGAGGGGTTGGGAAAGAGACAACAGTGGCCTCTGTGGAAGAAAGAGGGTAAGAAGGACAGGTTAATGAGAGATAAGCAATGTTGGCCCCAGAAGGAACAGACTGGCAGCGGGGCTAGAGGGTGAGGAGTGAGGCAAAAGGGAGTCTACAGGTCTCAGGACGGTTCCTGTGGCTGGAACCTCTCTCTGGGTAGGAAAGTGAGTGGCAGGTTTGCAAGGGAAGTACAGAAGACCAAGATAAGCAAGGCAGTGGGGATGGGGAAATGAGATGAGGAACTGGGTGCCTGTTACTGTGGTGTGAGCCAAGGCCCTGGCCTCCATCCAGGACTCGGGATCTGGCCCAGTGAGCGCACAGCTACGGCCAACTGGACACCGACAGCATCTTGGGTGGGTTTTGCTGTTTCTGAGGGGAGGGGGAGAGCAGTGGGGGGTGGTGAGAACATGGAAAGGAAGTCAGAACGACCCTGGATAAGAGCAGGGCTCTGCATGTTGATCAAAACTCCAAACACTTTCCCTATCAACCTGGTCTCCTGGAGGGTGGTGCTGCCTAATTTGGAATGCTGGGAGAAAAGTCTCATTCTAGAGATCACACTTTTTGGATATGGGGGACAGGTTGACCTTTAGTGGCAGGGGTGGGGGTGGTTTAGGGGTTAGATTCCCTAGTAGAGACCTATGATGCCGATTGGCTCTGCATCGTATCTGCCAGAACAGAGCAGGTAGAGCTGTTTGTTGGTGAGGGTGCTGTTGTAGTAGCAGCTTGTGGGTGGCTGTTGAGGGCTCAGGCTGCAGATCGTGACAGGGAAGCTGTCCTGGGTAAGTGTGCAGTATTTGTTGTAGTTCTCACAGAAGTTCTTGCTAAGTTTGCAGGACTCATAGATGACTTTCCAGGGAGCATGTATCACATAGTGGACCTGTGGGCAGTACCAGTGTTCCATTCTTCCCCTCACATAGGACATAATGCCATTACAGTAGCCCAGGAAACCCGCTGCAAAGTTAACCTTGGGGTAGTCGAAGTGTAAGATACGGAAGCTGTTGGAGGCAGACTTCAGATCAACGGAAATGAGAAGATCTGGCCCCAGAAAAAGCTGGAAGAAAAGGAGCCAGGCCACGGCTGCTGCCATTCCTCCTGCTGGCAAAGGTAAGATGGTTGGAGGTAGGGGTGGGACTAGAGTAACTGCTTTCCCTTCCACAAGTCTCTCGCATTCCCCAACCATCTCAAAAATCTTCCCTGTTCTCTAAGAGCTGGTGGTACTTGAGTGATCATCCAGTCCCAGTTCTCATGCCCCGGTGCAGAGAGGCACCTGCCCAGAGCTACCCAACTGAGCAGCCACCTCAACCACTTGCCTACCTCCATTAGGCCACCACAGGGAACCAGCCTTACCCAGTCTGAGGGCTGCCCTATAAGAGGTCTGACAGGTCCTTGAGCGAGTGGTTCCTCCAGAGGGAAATAGAGGGACGAGGCTGAGCTGATGCTTCTCTGACAGCTCCAAAAAAAGGATGGGAGCTGAAGACAGCTGGTGGTGGAGTGGGAGGGGGGAGGGCAGGAACTCTTCTGCCCAAGGCCAAAGGCACCACAGAGGTGACATAAGGCTACAAATCCTCTGAGAGGAGGGCCTGTCCTTTTGAGTGGGTAAGCACCTGTGCCGAGGGGGTTAGAGGGGTGGGAGGAAGAGACTTTGTGTCTGCTCTCCTGCTCTCTGGCGTCATGAGAACACTTGGTTCCAACATCCTTGCCAGAAGTTCCCTGAGTTCCAGGGCTTGCTTTGATATTTTCACTGGCCCATGGGCCCTGCACCTGGAGCAAAATGTTTCTGAGAACAAAGTACCTCTTGACCCACTGACCCCAGAGAACATGGTCTACCACCTTCTCAGCCTACTAGTGGAGTCCTTGGAGGCTGTGTATGCAGGTTCTCCCACAGCCCAGGCTGTATATGCAGGGCTGTCCCACTGAAGTGCTTGCAAAGAAGCACAAGACACCCTCGTGCACTCTCCAAGTCCCCAGCAGTAACCACACTCCTGTCACACCAGCACCCCTTACTTGTGACCTCAGGTGCCATGAGAGTCAGGGCAGCCAGGGAAAGCTATCATTGCCACCGGAAGTCTCACCACGGCAGCACAGCCTAGACCTGATGGGAGGGGGAGAATTGAAGATAATCAGAGGCCTGAACCCTGGGTGTCCCCAGGCCCATAGTACAGCTCAGGAGGAGCAAGCATAGGGCTGCGGAGAGAGAGTCTCCCTTCACTGGCTCCTTGCAGCCGCACAGACCAGAGTCTCCGACTGAATCATTCCTTCCCACTACCTGATGTTCCTCCTGCACTGTCTCGGTGTCATTTGCCCATGTGAAGAACCTACAGAAGGACCTCATACCCCACTGCCTCTCTAACCCACTGGAGGTAGGAAGTACTGCTCAATGGTGGAGATCAAGGCTTTGGGTTGACCCAGTTCAGGCCCCAAATGTTGGCCCTGTGGCTTACGTGCTCTGTACCACCCATATAAAGTTGCAGAACTATGAGAAGCTTTCATTTCTGCTGTTCCTGAGGCAAAGACTTTATAGCTTATGGCAGTATTCGAATTCATTCAGGATCCATTAGTGGGTCTGGTATGGTAGTCTAGCGGCTAAAGTCCTCGTCTTGCACATGCTGGGATCCCATATGGGCACCAGTTTGTGTCCAAGCGGCTTCACTTCCCATCCAGTTCCCTGCTTGTGGCCAGGAAAAGCAGTCAAGGATGGCCCAAAGACTTGGGACCCTGCACCTGCATGGGAAATCCGAAAGAGTTTCCTGGCTCCTGGCTTCAGATCAGCTTGGCTCTGGTCATCACAGCCACTTGGGGAGTGAATCAGCAGATGGAAGATCTTCCTCTCTGTCTCTTCTCCTCTCTGTATATCTGACTTTCCAATAAAAATAAATAATTTTTTTCTTTTTCTATTTTTAATTTTATTTTTGACAATCTTCACATAGTTAAGGTAAAAAGGTTCAAGGGCTACAGGAAAGTGGGTAAACCCATTATTTCCATATTGTTTCCTTCATGTATCTGAGGTAAAGAGGGATATTAAGGGAGAAACCCCACCCAGTCTCCCACCCACCCCCAAGTCACTGATGTGGGGCATACTCCGAGGGTCTTGCTCAAGCGGTTTTGATAGTTCAACAGTTATGAATTGCTGCCAATCTCGCCACTCCAAGCACAATGAGGTCATTGAAGAATCCACTGATTGACATAGTCCATCTTAGAGTCTCCGTTTGCCCAGTTTTTCACTGCCAACATATAGCTAAGGTGGTTGATTGACTTGTCTGTCCTCTGTCTGGTACATTGTGAGTCACCAACATGAATCCATCAGTTATGCAGCCCTGACAGTCTTACTTCACATCCTATTTATTTATTTTATTTGAAAGGCAGACATAGAGACAGACTCCCACAACATCCAGGATTGGCACAGGCCAAAGTGACCATGTCCCTCACATGGGTAACAAGAACCCAATTCCTGGGCCCTTCATCTGCTGCCTCCCAAGGCTACACATTAGCAGGAAGCTGGCATTCCCCATGATAGGACACAGGCATCCTAAGTGATGCCTTAACTAGTGCACCAGATGGCCCACCACTCTGCTTCCTTCTGTTCAGACTCTCTTCTCTCCTGGACACCCTGTAAACTCTGACTCTGCTAAAGCTCACTTAAATGTATCCTTCATACAACACCAGATAAGAACTATAGACCACTCTCTAAAATTCTGCACTAGCATTTTGTTTATTATGGGGTGTACTACAAACAGCGTGACATGTAACATAGGAACCTTCATGGTCTTGCTGCTGTGCATGTCCACAGCCGTCTTCCACTTCGACCTTCTTCCCCCGGAACCTCCAGTCCACCTTCTCCTCCACCTGGAATGGCACTGCTCCTTCCCTTCCCCCAATCATCTCCCACCAAGTCTGGGGTGCTGCTTTAATGCAGAGGTCCCGTTTTGAAAAGCCTGTGCTGGGAAGAGGACTTTCCAGAGAAGTGTTTTTTTTTTTTAAGATTTATTTTTATTTTTATTGGAAAGGCTGATATACAGAGAGGAGAGACAGAGAGGAAGATCTTCTGTCCAATGATTCACTCCCCAAGTGAGCGCAACGGCGGCTAAACTAAACAGTGGGGAAGATAAGGCAAACCCAAGCCCGGGGCTCAGTGGTCTCCCACAGGCTGCTCAATAGAGCAGCACCAAACATCAGCCCACGCGGGGTGGTGCCCCAGCCTGGTGAGTCAGCTCTGTTCTTGAGGAAGTTGGCCATGTTGTGGTCCCGGTCACCAGTCATGCTACCTCTTTTCTGGTCTCTCAAGACTTCCATGCCCCTGGGGGGGAAAGGGACTTGTGGTCTTTCTCTTTGTTTCCTACCCACCCATCAGCATTCAGAACCCTCACCACTATATGCCACTCACCTCTGCACAGCCAGTTACAGAAGTCAGAGTATTGTAGAGGGCCAATTCAGGACTTGGTATAGAATCACTTGCTGAACTTCTGTCTTCTCTTCTGTAAGATGAAACAATACCTTCCTTACCTCATCAGGCTGCAAGAATAAAATGGAGCAGCAAGCACAAAAGTGCCTTTTAATAATTAAATATGTAAATGGACAACCAGATCCCACATGTCTCCATTAGGTCCTACATCAACTCACTGTTGGCATCTGCAAAGCCTCTTTTATCTCCAAATAGGTCTATGGACAGCACTCTCACCCTGCCCCATCCCTCCTCTGCTAATCTTGAGCGTCTCTAACTCCTGGCTTAGAATTCCTCTCCATGAAGGTTTTTATGTTTACTTTAAACTAGTCAGGTGCTATCTGAAAATCAGTTTGACAAATGTGGGAAAACGTAAAGGTGATAAAGTCATTTTAGTCCAGAGGCATGAGGCCAGAGATATTGCTAAACATCCGGTAGGGATTGTCCCCACAATTAAAAGTTAAACAGACCAAGATGCAAATAGTGTCGAGGTTGAGAAACTCTGGTCTGATTAATGAGATAGTCAAATTGCCTAATATGAGCAGACTTACCTGCACCTGTATTTAAAGGAGATGGTAAATATTTGAGATTTAGAAATTTTTTAGAAAATATTTATTTATTTATTTATTTTTATTGCAAAGTCAGATATATATAGGGGGAGGAGAGATAGAGAGGAAGATCTTCTGTTTGATGACTCACTCACCAAGTGAGCGCAACGGCCAGAGCTGCGTCAATCCGGAGCCAGGAGCCAGGAGCTCTTCCACGTCTCCTATGCGGGCACAGAGTTCCAAGGCTTTGGGCAGTCCTCAATTGTTTTCACAGGCCACAGGCAGGGAATTGGATGGGAAGGCTCTCTCATATAGAGAGAGGGAGAAACAGAGAATGAGAGTTCCATCTGCTAATCCACTCCCAAAATGCTTACAGTTACCAAGGCTGGGCCAAGATGAAGCCAGGAGCCAGAAATTCCTCCTCCCTGAGTCTCCCCTGTCAGCGGCAGGAAACCAAACACTACCTGCTGCCCCCTAGGTGCATTAGCAAGTAGTTGGATTACAGGCAGAGTAGTCAGGACTTAAACTGGTCCTCCAGTATGGTTTAACCCACTGTACCACATCACTTATCCCAGAAATTTTTTTGTTAAACTAATTTTAATTGTAATGATATTAGTTTTTCTATCAGCGAAAAGTGTTACTGACAGGTCACCACTAAAGCAATGACTGAGTCATTTTTCCTACAAAGATATTGCCCTCTTTGTGAACATTGACACATTCCCTGCCCAATGATAAACATATAACAAGTGATACCTACAGGAGAATTCCCTGTGGTTTTTCCCTGAATGGGTTCATCATTCCAGTGTCATCACCTTTGGCCCTGTCCAATTCAATTTGATCAAACAGAATACTGTGTCATGGACAATTCCTGTGTTGTCCTTGAACCCAGGGGATTGCTTCATTCATCTCAACCTTCTTTTTCAACCCAGGGCTGAAGTCCAGGAGCTGCAGTGTCAGCTCTTCTATCTGCTAACTAGCTCTGTGGTTTGGTGATTAGCCAGCCTGGGAATGGGAATATTCAGGAGCAGAGTAAACGTCTTCTAATCTAGAACTTGAATCAAGACCACTTACAAGCAAGGCACTGTGCCATGTCTCGTGGAAGGTACAAAAGGAGAAGA